TTTGAATGTTTGAATACAATGGAAATGTAGCGCATTTGACCTCTATCTCACCTGATGATAAGTGACGATAAGGTCGACGATGCACACCTCAATAATGCCTATTCACTCTCGCCTTGTAAAGGCCCGAGTTATAGCGTTCAGGGAAAAAGAGTAAAAAAGGCAATGGATTCCACTCTATAGCCGTTCGCCATATAAATGTGGAATCGTAACGCTTCATGTTAACCTTTGGAATATCCACAACACAGGGATGGAACCCCAGCCTACGTCCATTTGTTTAGGTACTTAACTAAATGCAAAAATGTTGATACATCTTTACATTGAAACATATACTTTACAAATCAGTAGGTATAAAAATATGCATGCAATTTCATATGAAGCTAAGTATTTGTATTTTGTGTTTGAAGGTAAGTAAAAGTCATTTTATAAATGTATATTTCTCAAGATTGTTTACATTTTGTTAAGTACCTAAACAAATGAACCATAGTCCCCCGGTTAGAGAAAGGTGAATCTTACTGGATTAACTCGTATCATATACAACTTACGTCGATCATAAAGACGTATTCATGACTATCAGCTATGCTACAGCTTTGTGCCTTTTGCGGTTGACACCCTGGGTCCCTGGGGGCCACAAGCGAAACTTCTAACGGACGCGCTATCAAAGCGCCTTGTAGAAGCCTCCGGTGACCACAAGGTTGGTAGTTATTTCCGCCAAAGAATAAGTTTAGCTATTCAATGTTGCCAGTCTCTGAGCACGATGTCGCAGGGTACGGCCCTCGAGGAAATTTTGTAATTACAAACTTTCAAGTACTGTATTGTATTATATTTATGTTGTTATACTATTTTTCGAAATTGTCATACATAAGAAATAATACATACATATTTTGCACATTATTTATTTTTTATACTATTTTACAAGTTAAATCATTGTTTCTAATGGTAATAATTATTTTCTGATAATTATTGTTTCTATCAGTATATAATATAATTTTGTTTTTAATTCTTATAACTATTACAAGAATGTCTAATGTCATGGGATTCATGATTGTCGTCAACCCGTCTATGTTTTGTACTGCAGGATACGTCTCTAGAGAGGAACCAAAATACGTGAATAACATTCCCGAGGACGTATTATTAATTTTGAATTTGATTTCTTGATATAGGAATTAGATGAAATTTATATTATAAATTAATTTATAGATAAAAAATAAATCAAAGGTGATGAGTACTATGTCATTTGGTTATTTGTTATTTTAATTTACATGAATGTGTTTTTAAAAATATGTCAACAAATTGAAACCTTAAATTGAGATTTTTAATATAATATTCAAGTAGTAAGCAGTACAATTGTTGTTGCTTGTGAAAAAGTTCGCCCAGGGAAGTACTGCCACCTTACTTACATACACATATATCTGCCGCCAAGCAGTAACGTGAGCGTTACTGCGTTCCGGTTTTGAAGCGTAAGGGTGTTGGTGAAGTTACAGGCACATGGAACTTGTCAACTTATATATCAGGGTGAGGCCCCTCAGATCTTTACACTTTAAAGCCTGCCTGCAGACTTGTTCCCTGAAAGTTATAACTTGGATCTTTTCAAGGCGAGAGTGAATAGGCATTATTTAGGTGTGCATGCTACATCGTCGACCTCATCGTTACTTTCCACCAGGTAAGATGGAGGTCAATTGCACACTTATTTTTTATATAAAAAAAAGCTGTGAGTGGCACTGCAACTGTTATGGACAGGCGTGTATCTTACCACCAGGCACACGACTTGTTCGTCCTGTCACTTGATATTATATAAAAAAAATATTTACTCAGCTGGCTCAGCGACCCACATTGTGTCTTGGCCTCCGAAACAAGATGATGCCACCTTCTTGGATCCTATGCAATCTCTCGCCAATTGATGGCTTGTAGTTCGCGTAGGTCCGTTTCCACGGCGTCGCTCCAGCGATAACTGAGACGACCAATCAACCTTCGTCTTGGAATAATGTAATTAATTACTTTAATATTAAAGGTAGCGGGGGTCAATTGATTGTAAGATTCACATCGTTGAATCTTTTTTCCCTAAAAGATTTAAATGCAAAAAGCAATCTATGCCTGTACAGATTAGACGGCCCAAAATTCAAAGCTCAGAGTGCTGTATAGGTATAACTTTGATAAGATGCCTGAAAAAAGCGCGTCAATGATTTTGATAATTTTGAGCGCGTTATCTCTGCGACTAAGTATACTATCTACTCGACGACGGATCCAAGTACAGTATTTGTACAAACCCAAAGGTTTTCGGGGAGACACATAAATTGCATAATAGTAACTTAGGTGTGTTGATAATAATCTGTAGAACAACAATTGATCTATTTTCACTCGGTATAATAAACCTTAAGTGTAACAAACATTAGGTATAATGATTAGGTAATATAATTAATTAATTGTATAAGGTTTTCCAATAGTATTACATTATGATACAGTATTTCGTAATAGAAATAGTTGAAGAGCCTATGTTAATAAATTAGCAATTATACATAGCGAATGCAAAGGATGCAGCTGTACTTTGGGCACATCATGCGGAGTGATGAATACTCTCTGCTGCAACTCATTCTGCAGGGAAAAATCCAGGGCAGCAGAAGACGTGGTTGTAGAAAAACCACATGGCTTCAAAATCTTGCAGAGTGGTTCAACATTACTACCTTAGGGCTGTTCCGACTCGCAAATTCTTGGACCCAAATTGCCATAATGATAACGACGATGGCACCCCAAGAAGAAAGATAGTTAGCGAATATGACTGTTTCGATTTCATTGTTAATATTCAATACACATCAAGTCATGTCTATCAAAAATGTGGTTTTAATTTTCATAACAAAAATACATCGAAATTTAATATTTGCCCTACGCCCGCCCGCCGCTAGTGCTCCGGCGTGGCCAACTACAGGGCGAAATACCTTGGAGTGCCTAAGTTACTCCCCGAAGTCTTCAGTAGAGCCAGGAGGATACTGAGGTTTTTGGAAAGCTCGGTTGACACGAATAGGACACTGCACTCACCCACACGCAAAATAGGCGCTAGACGTCGAGTAGCGGACACTTGGGCCCTGATTTTAATTCAAATCGGAATTGATCCGACCCGGTAGCACATCCGCAATATTATACGCCTCGACTCGGAAAAGCCGCAGTTTCCGATCGGGAGAGGCAATCAAAATCAAACTGCAATACCATCACTCGCACCATACCATACCGTACGCCGATCGCTACACTACTAACCTAAGCTAATTTTTTTTATCGACGATATATTTTACGATCCATGATCAAAATCCCGGGGAGGCGAAGGGTTCTGTCCAATTATGTCTGACTCGTACCGACTAAAACGGCCTCTGTGGCCGAACGGTTACCATGCTGAAGGGCTATCACGACAGGGCGCGACTTGCGCGAGAGCGACATAAAGCGCGAACTACTTCTGGTCTCGCTCAGAGATCTCGCGCTCTATGTCGCTC